CCATTTTATGAGGTGGGGGGGGGGTGAAATAAGCTGTTTCGCTAATTTGGCTGGTCACACTGTAAAATGCATATGCATGTGCAGGTTTGACAATTTCTTTTTCTATATGAGTATTAATGATCCATCCATCCATCCATCTTCTGCCGCTTATCTGGGGTCGGGTCGTGGGGGCAGCAGTCTGAGCAGAGATGCCCAGACCTCCCTCTCCCCAGCCACCTCCTCCACCTCCTTCTGGGAGATACCAAGGTGATCCCAGTCATCATCTCTCTGGCGTGTCCTGGGTCTGCCCCGGGGCCTCCCCCCCCCCGTTGGACATGCCCGAAACACCTCCCCAGGGAGCCGTCAAGGAGGCCTACTAGGTAGACCACCACCAAACTACCATTACGTTTCCAGATGAATTAAAACCCACCAATCTCTAAAATGAGGGAAGTAGCCAGAACCAACCCTGCAATTAAGCTACGTGCTGGATAATGATTCAGGACGAAATAGCGATACTTTAGGTTCAGGAACAGACTTCAAAACAAAGTGTTACTAAGGGATCTAAAACACTGGACTTCATAATAACTTTCTTATCAGAGTCTTGGACCACTTAGACTCACTCAGTTCACGGATAAAGTATCCTTAATTAACATGAATGTCAAACTAAATATGCAAAAGTATATGTCACATTTAATCATTATAATCTGTGATTTTAATCATATGACCTTTGATTTGCAGATGTAGCCCTGTAGAGCGACTACATTCGCCATGACTAATGGGAGAACGTTCATGTGATTTTTCTGTTTGATCAGCGGGACGTTTATGGGAGGTGCAATAATTTAGGTGTGGAGCACAATTATCAGGCTACATGCCTCAAAACAAACACCCTTTGTTTCAAAGCCGTGGCTTAATAGCCAATCATTTCCCAGTCATTCAGTGTCGAAACAGCCAATCATTTCTCAGTCATTCAATGTCAAAACAGCCAATCAGTTTTAAACCTGATATCTTTAAATACATTTTTAATAATGGTTGTTGGTCATAATGCCTTACAAGTATGTATGCTACAAATTCCAGGCAAATGCCCCCTACAGATTTAAATAAATAGACCTTTTAAGGTACAGAAATTGACTCTGAGGAACATTTCTATACCATTTCTGTACCATTGATGGTACATTAATTCTGTTTGTACCTTTGTCATGTTCCTCAGAGTACATTTCTGTACCTTAAATTAGACTAAAAGGTGCATTTATCTACAGCTAGGATACAACTGGTAGACCCTTGAGGGTACAGCCCCGGTACAAATTGGTACTCCTTTTTTCCGACAGCGTATTGTCAACCGTTAAACGTGGGAAAGCTAGCAGGGAAAACAAATTAAACAAAAAAGAACATGTCGATCAGGCTGTTCCAGTAGGGGATCCCGAAAGAAGGCGTGCGGCCTTAACGTTTGGCGTCGTTGTCGGCTTACGTATTAAATGCAATTACACCACAAGCGCCAAACTACAATAACAAAAACCGAAAAATGCGTCCGGACCAGAAATACGGCGAGTATTTCTATAGTATAGGCTATAGGACGGCTATGAAAAACATCGCGTCGCCCTAAGTTATCTATTACACCACTTGTAAATCTCCAGAGGTTCATACTGGCCACGTAAAATAATAATAGAATTAAATATTCCATCCACTATTTTTTTTTCACAGCGGCTGATTCAGTACAGGATGAGGCTGGGGTATATCCTGTTTAATAATTAAAATTGTTATGATTATTAGTCATTCATAATTAATTTTTTTAGGTTTTGGAGAAAAGTGACAGGATGGCAACAAAGTAGACATTAGAGGACACGTTGCTCTGGGTTAGTGAATATATCTACTAAAGATAGTTAATAAATGCAACATTTTAATATTCAGAGATGCGTCTCAGTAATTCTTTTTGTTCCCGGTGTTCTGACAAAACATCCTACCTATTGAGTGCTATCGAGCCTTTCTGTGCATGTGCAGTTCCACCGTCTTGGGATTACGGTTAGGTTTTAGGGGTTAGGGTTAGGGTTATGGTTAAGGTAAGGGTAACTGACAAAGGTCTTACGCATTTATCTAGATAAGCAATATTTTAGTGCCGGTAAAAAATGGACGTGCGCAAATTCCAACTGGCTCATATTAACATATTTAGATGATCTTGCCATTTTGCATTTTAATAATTTGGCATTCAGTAATGAACTCTGTTTCAAAAAAAGAAGCTAACAGTTTCATATGGATATTTCGGCAGACTGGGGCATATTGGCACACATAATTTTTTTTTTTAAGTTTTTCCATAATTACTAGAACACGCAGGTTAGTTGAATGGTCATAAGCGTACCAAAAGAAAGAGAAGCGTTTAATAAATAGTTTAATATCCTGTTAATATTAATTTCTAAATTCATATTGATCTAATTACACAATAACCATACGTTAGTATTTTGTGATAACGTGTCCCATATGTATCTCCTCATATGGTCAACAGAGAATGTCTGTGAAATAACACACAGGGTAGCCAATTAAAATATGACAAATGCGGGTCCCTAGGGCGGCAACATCTGAGGGACGACGACTTGCCAGTCAACTTCAGTTTGTCTTCGTCAAGGGGCGTCGGCGGTGATGCTCGCCTAGGGCGCCATATCGCTTAGGACCGGTACTGGCCCCGCACACGGTTATTGTTAAGTCTTTGTCGGGGGCGCGTCAGGACGCATAAGCGTTTACAATACGATGCGTGGTTACATGCCTCCCAGACCACCTCGGCAAGTGGTTAGAGCGATCGAGTCTCCATGCATCTCGGTGGTTGTTTAAACTTGAAGGTTGCTTTGTCCACTTGCATTTTACAACTGTCAACAGGCCCTCAGACAGATGATCGATGCAGCAGAACAGGTGTTATGCCGAAAAAGGCATCCCTGCCGTAGAATGCATGCCTGTCTCTAAATGACCGATTGCATGGTCGCTGATCTGAAACGAGTTGAGCTACATAGTCGAGTAAGGCTACCGTAGTGCTAATCAACAGCCCCCAAAAACCAGTAAAATTCTAACCCTAACCCCCAAAAAAACCACTAAAACCATAACCCCCAAAACCCCCCTAAAACCCTAACCCTAACCCCCAAAACACCCCTAAAACCCTAACCCTAACCCCTAAAAAACCCCTGACCCCCAAAAAACCCTAAAAAAGCTAAACTCGTCGTAATACCGGCATGCATTCTAAGGCAGGGATGCCTTTTTCGGCATAACACCTGTTATGTGACGCATCTCCAGATGGCACGCTTGATAAAATACATTAAAATCGTCTGCACAGGAATGATGGTTGTACGTTGGAATGAATGCCATAAATCTGATTATTGCCTTTAGAATCAGACTGGCACTTTGTAGTCTGCGGTGTTTTCCACTTAGGCCTGTACGGCATGCATTTCCTCAGTTTTAAATAATATATTTCCGTATTTTTTTTAAACAATGTGCCCGGTATTTAACCTTGAACCGTGCATTTTTTAAATTTGCATGAAATGCCTTTTTACAGGATATATATTTTTCTGCAGTAGCCTAATGTGTGTCCGGAATCTGTGGATCCTTGCAGAATAGGACCATACCTTGTATGTATACAGACTTTAACAAAGGGCCATTCTTATTCGTCACAATCACTACCTTTGGATACTTATAATTTATTAATAACGCGTGAGACAATGCGCAAAGCCTGTATACAGTACGGGCGAGCATGGTATTCTGTATCAGCCTAAAATTCATTCAGTCGATTTACATGTTGTACAGACAGCTGGAGAGGAATATGCTAAATAATTCCTGTTTCATGAAGTGGGTATCTGGACTTATACTAAAGGCAAATATGAAAAACAAGAAATGCCAGTTTCATTGAGATAAAGAAAAACAAAACACTGCTCTTATCTTCTACTGTAAACGGTGCATAAAAAGAATCCCCATCTGGCGCTCCCGTACCTCCAACTTTCAACCGCTTATCTCGAGTTGCCAAACTTCTTGGGCTCTGCGCTGGATTGGGAAATTCCCAGGGGGAAGCCGCGTGCCAGGGGGGAGCCCAGGCGGTCCAGGGAAGCCTGCGCGCAGCGCGCGCGCTCCAGCAATTTACCAATAAATATTTAGGTGCGGGATTGCTGATTAGGTGCGGGTTTGCTGTTAATTACAGTGACCTGTCAACGATCTCTGTGCCACTCCAACAAAGACTATTTAAGACTGATTAAGGAGCATTAATCTCACGTATTCAATAACAAATATAAAAAAAATTAAGATTTTCTTACATTCATGTTAACTGGTTTTGAAATTACTAATAATAGGCTAACTGAAATTCCCACATATTGAAAGGCGTGAAGAGCGAACTTCCGTTTCTTCAGTCAGTTGTAATATTGGTTAATTTGAATGAGCCGAGGGTTAAAAGCCAGTTTCGGCACAGAAGGTCAAGTGCTTAATGGCGGAGACCGTGTCTTGTAGACATCTGACAACTACAAGCAATCTGTGTCTTCTTGGTCATAATTTGCCCGTGTTTGACCGAGAGTAAACGTTTGTCCATGGACACTTTCTGCGTGCGAGTGAACGCGTTTGCTTGTCATGGAAACGCCATAGGTCACACTCATAAAGTCTTTCAGCTGTAAAACTATTACATATCGCCTTTAATCTGATGCCTGAATCACAATGACCGCAAAAATGCTTGGATAAACGACCCCGTAGAAGCAGCTGTCCAATAAAACGTATTAAGTAATAATAGGGAAGCATTCAAGAAACTACAGAATGTCCCCAAATGCAAGATGGACACTTTAATCACATTTGCAGCATTCCCTGACTTGAGGATCCTGCTGGACTCACATTGACTCTTGGCCATCAAAGACGCAGTGATAATGTAAAATGAGCAGACTCATTATATTAGATTGAGTTAATAATTTAGATTATGTTCCATTACACCAGGATAATAAATAACCCGACACAACCAGCACATCACAAGCTAAATACTGCCAATGAGAATCACAAAAAAATCTTAATAAACAAAGTAAGTACAATTTGGTTTATTTTGTACAAAAATAGTCTTTTTACAAATATACAATTATGTACATGACCAAAACACCAAAAATGGATAGACTTATAGACATCTTAAGGAAATCAACCAACCCCCCCCCCCCCCCCACTTGTAAATGCCACAAATATTCCAAATGGAATACTCTTAATTTTCTTTAAAGACATTTGACAATCTTTGTTTTCTCTGAACAGCAATATTATTTTTTTTGCCTCATCATTTTTTTTCTTTTCAGTTTTTGCTCTTCCTTCCTTTTCCAATTGTCCATAAAAATCACAGAGACAGTGCTTTGCAGCAGAAGGTGCTAAACTAAATGGCATCTAAACATCGATACAGCCATAGCAGTTACAGTAGTAGCAGTATAAAACGTTTTTTTCCTGCATATTTGGGCCTAATTAGAACATTTATTATGCATTTAGTTGAGTGGTAGTTTAATTGTTTTATATATAAAGTGCAATAGTCTTCCACAAAAAAGAAATAGCACAGTTTAAACATTAATATCAGCACTGTTCATAAAAAATATATAAATCCTTGAAAATAGTTCAAATTATATGCCCGTTACCCTTACAGGTAAAATGTCTGTGTATAAATTTCTCCACAGCTGATAAATCACAATCCCATGGCATTCAATGAGGGCAGCAAATTGGCTGACTTGGGTAAAAATTCATGCCGTTGCTGGTCTCGTAGTCTCTAATAGCACCAGAAGTTTCGGAATGCAGCTCGGAGTAATACAACTCGTTTTCTGCCCCTGCAAAGGAAACAAGCGATAATATAAAAACACGCATAAATTACATGTTTGATGCATAGAGAAGATATCATGGTCAATTGATAGAACAAACATCAATTGAGCGAACAATGGATGTCATGGTGAATGAGTAACATAGGAGAAAGGATGCCAAAGCAACCAAACATGAACCCAAGTCTGAGATTTCCAAAAAAATCACTAGCAAAAGGCTATAACAATGACAGCTGTTGTATCATTTTTATGTTTACAGTTTTATTATAGATCTGTTGACAGGTTTCAATGTGCCTGCCATTGGCTAAATATCACTTATAACTGACTTGATTTATCCTTTACAGTCTCTTGATATGTTTTGTTGATTTTGTAACTATTACAATAACTTGTTTGTCATAAATAGGCAACTACCTTCAACGATATAAAATAAAATCTTCAGAGAAACTGTTTTCATCAATAGGCTTCTATTTCCCTGTGAGAGTGGAGTGAATCAAATTCTTTAGCCAATCAGATGAGAGCTGATAGCTCCCCTTTAGCTGCACCTGATTGGCTGATGGGCACTGTTGCCCCATTGGATGAGGGAATGGTATACTTACCAGAGTATAAGCTGTCCTGACTGTGACTGGAATCTGCAGCCCCCATGTCATTGCTCAGGAACCCTTTGCCATCTATGCTGCTTTGCTGCCACTGTTCTTGCTCATAAGCCAGCTGCGAAAAAGCGACATTGCAAGAGTTCATGGATTCCGAAGTATAGTTCATAGTCCATATATTTCTGTATATAATGCTTGGAGGGTATAATCAGTGCATGGACATGATAGAATGTACCAAAGCCAAACTTACATCAATGAGAACTGCCTCATCATCTTCAAAGCCTGAAACAGGAATGATTAGGTAAAAATTAAAATAATTTTTCACAATTATTACACTTATTCTATATACAGGTAGCGTAAACGCCAGATTCCTTACGGCTATGCAGATGAGGCAGGCCAGTTAAAACACGTCAAAGACAGTACAGGTAACATGCACATGGAGTACAGCTAATCCCAAGAATTACCATCCATATGGAGGACAGGCAATTAATTACGAAGTTACCCGTAATTTAATGATTGACAGTGGCCCCTTTGGTACGCTACCTGAGGACGGTAAAGGTGACACCTGGAAATGGAACACATTAGTGCTGTCAACTTCGGATACGGTTGTCGTCACTGCGGGAGGCCAGTTGGAGAAATCTTCCTCGTTCCCATACTGGTGGGATGAACTGACTACAGATAAAATGGAGAAAGGTCATCTTGCAATGTAATAGCAATGCACCATTATTGACTTTTTGTACTGAGGTCTACATTGATGCTGTTCATATTGACCTAAAGAGTCTGCTGTTCGGTTTTTGTAGTTTTTGAGCAGTTCTGCCATTACCAAGGTGTATATAATTCTGAAAGACCGAAACTGAAGTTCTGAGAGCCCCAGTCAGCGAAAGGCCTACCTTGATTCTCTGAACTGTCCACTGTCGTCTCTTGCATGGGTTCATCCTGAACAGTTGTCTCTGTTTTTGATTGTTTGTGGTCCACATCATCCATTTTGGTATCTGACTCAACGACCTAAAGAACAAGCAAGAGTTTTGTAGTCCATGTTTAAAAGAGAAGGATTTTCCTCTTCCTGCTAATGGACAATGTAGTAGGTATGGATGGAGGACACCTCAAAGATCGTTGGTAACTGAAAAGTTATTATTTAAGGAGAACTTGCCTTCATCTTTCTTCTGTTATCTTTCGTCCTTGATTTCTTTTCTGTCAAAAGACAATAAATGCCTTTAACAGCCACGAATTATCCAGCTGAGGTGATAGCTTAACTGTTGACCAATGGTTACTAACAATGGCTCCGTGCTCAAGGGTGACTTTGCAAGAGTTCTATTAAATGCCATACAGACTGCTTTGAATGTTTTTGCAGTGTCTATTTACGTATGCATAGTCGCGTACCTTTTTTCTTGGTGACAGATTGCAACATTCTGTAGACTCTGACGGCATCTGAGCCCTTGTGAACGCTTTTTGCTTTGACTTCTTCGATGTCCGGGAGGGAGTTCATGGCACAGCGGAAGTTGGCCTTCCACGTTTTTGGGTCAGGGTGGGTGACACCGGGCTTGTATTTCCCTGGGAAAATAGGACTGATTTCAGCACACCTGGCGAACTTGTCAGGATTGAAGGGTAATATCAGGGACAGAAGAATCCCCAGAATACATTAGACAGATGACAAACTTGAATTCAACATATGTGGGCTGTACAAATGAGGGAAGACATTAAGTACAGCGTCTCCCCAGTGTCATGCCCTGCTCGTCTGATCCTCCCATGTGCCATGCCCCCTCGCTACCTCGTGTGGAATCCCCGTGTTACCAGCTGTTTCCCGTTGTTGTTAATTAGTTTCGTGTACATAAGCCCACGTTCAAGTATGTTTGCCCAGTCCTGTCATTAATGTCATTTTGAGTTTGCTGCTTGTTCCGTTGTCCTGCTTTCCTTTACATTCAATTAAACCCGGTGTCCCTGCTTCCCCGGTCCGTGCCCCAGCAATACATGACACCCAGGTTATGACGGGACTATGTTCTGAAAAAGCTATAGTAAGGCTAACATTATTGTAAGGCGAAAATGCATTTTAATACGGTACACGTAACCTAACAAACATCTTAGCCTAGCCTAGCTTAAACATGCTTAAAACACTTACATTAGCCTGCAGTTGGGCAAAATAATTAACACAAAGCCTATTTATGATAAACTTCTGAATATTGAATGTAATTTATCGCATAATGTGCTGAATGTGAAAAACATTTACTCATCGTAAAGTCCGAAATATCGTAATCACGGACCATCAGTATATTAATTACACTGCAGGTGTCTTGCTTACCTGTATGAATGGCCCACTGCATAAAGAGCGACGCGTCTTTGTCCATTTCCCAGCCATGACGAGCCGCGTGCTTCCATGGAATGGAGAATATTTTCTTCTCCTTAAAACAACAAGCAAATGAGCATGATATATGTACTGCCCCCCTGGTATGCTTAAATGTTTTGTAAACTTAGCCGGACATGCGCACAGAGCGTCTATCCTGCTGTCGCTCTCGTACCGTGTCGACCCATCTCAGCCCTTGAATTTCCTGGTGTTCAATTTTCTTCTCCAACCAAGGTCTCATTTTCATGCGTTGCACAGGCATGATCGCTGCAAGAACAAGGGCAATCTATAATGTTTAACACGTTTCATCGTTTCTTTCACAATAAAAGTAACGCAAATCACCACCGCGAAGCAGTTTCATAGCCACGCTGTTAGCGGAAATTATAGTAAACCTACCGGTGTCATATTACCAGCAATGCGAAGCAAGACCGCGCTGATTACAGTATATAACACTAAACACAGTTTTCCAAACATTCAAAAAAACGAGCGGTTATGTTGGAATAATGTAATTCTATGCATAAATCTCGTATTCGAATACTCTCTTTTGTTTGTTTCTCAAACCTATTAACCAAATAGATGCAGCAACGTGTTCTTTTATTCAAGGCATGTTCATTTAAGAAAGTTTACAAGTTCATTGTCGAGTACTGCTATATAGATTAAATTACAGCCATACTATGGAGCACTAAAAAGATCATCATAACTGCATTCAGTTTATTATTAAATGACAATAACACTCGATGCGCCGCGTTTGCGATTTGTATTGCTGTTACGTATCATTTTATAATGTGTCACCGGAAGGTATAAATACAGTATGCGCTTGTTTAAAGCAGCAGAAACATATAGAAACTTACTTATTGTCGATTTTTACAAAGTTTTGGTCGAATGAACAGGCCGTCTGTATGACGTGATAAGGTGGAGCGGCTGAACACAGACGGCAATCGGCACTATTGTGGGATAAGGTACGCAAGCTTGTTTTGCCGTTTAATAGCAAGAAGAAAAAATATATAGGCCTATATATATGTAGGCCTATCTTCACGTGATTTGATAAAAGCAGGGAACAACATTCGCTTTGCTTCATTTAATGCAAAAAATAAGATAAATAATAATAATAAATACGAATGCAGCAAAACAGCGCAGTAAACGTTATTATGATAAATATAACTAACAATAACCGCATACATTGTGGTGTGTGTACAAACATAGTAACATATTAGTCAAGATAGTTGAATTAATTATTAATCTATGTGCATCTATATAGACATTCTAAAATATACCAAATATACCGATGAATATAGGCTACTAAAAAGAATTGTGGAACTAACTCCCCGTGATGAAAATGATAATAAAATACTCACGTTATGTAACTTTAAAATGTTTCCTATGCCGTTATTAGTAAGGAGGTTGGTTGAAGTTACTCCAGATTTCTGCAGAAGTATCCGATATCGAGAACAACAGCAATCAGCTCTACTCCACCCCGTGCGACCCGCGCGCCTTGTTAAATACTGCTGGTATTCCCCGGTAGTGACTGAAAAGCAGTCAGGCACTCGCGCTTGCGCGCTGTCACGCAGCGCTACTGTACGGCAACAGTCAGCGCCTGATTTCCGAGAAATCATGTCTTTGTTAGCAATGCACTACAGAGGAGGAAGTCATACACAAAAAACAACAAGCCAAATCCTGTGCAGCAAGACAAGTGAATACCGCATATTTCTGCATGTTTGTGCAACTAGCCAGTCAACAATATTTCATACCCTTGTAAATCGATTATGCAAAATTTTTTCTAATTTTGTGATTCATGCAATATGATTTATGAATAAGTCTCAGTGTCTATTATTATTATTATTATTATTATTATTATTATTATTGTTATGGATTAGACAACTGTTGCAAATGGTATGTTTTTAGTAGCCTATGTGAAGTGCAAACTTTCGGGTTAAACCTTATCGGTTTGACCTACTAGGACTCCCCTACATTTCCAGGAAATGCTGTAGAATCTGTATTTGACCGCCAGATGGCGCGATGTATTACATCCAGGCGGCGCAAGTCGCACAGAAGCCAGTCTAAGGGATATTAAAGCGTGAGAAGTCCAGGTCTTTTGAGAAATTTTCAAATGCAAAACCGCAAGGGAGACGAAGAGGCAAATGAAATCCCCCCACCCCTATTTTTTTATTGGTCTGTCCTCCAATTTACAGTGAAAAATTTGGGTTTTGGTGGCAGGATTGGCACTCCGGCCACCAGAAAAGTCTCACACTGGTCCATTCGGACTAGTGTGCTGCTGAGGTATCACCCGCCGCATGGTTGCACTCAGGTTCTCATCCCTGAGGTGGTTTGTCGTGCGGTGAGTATCAATGCATGCTCATTCCCTACCTACAAATACTTTGCGTGTGAGTTTTTTTTTTTCTCTCTGAATAAGGCATGTGCATTTAGATTACTATAGGGTTAAATCGTTTTTATTGGTGTCCGTTGTGTAATCAGTATTGTGGTGGAAAAGTGTGTACGGTCCTTTCCCGTACAGTCATACTCTCTGTTTCTTCTTGAGTGTGAGTGCTTATTGTGTGAACGACTGCCAAATGAAATAATTCCCCAGAGTTACCTCTGATTTACGGGGTGACGTTTGTAGAACGTTGCATGCTGTGGGGTGGCGTTCGTAAAATCTTGCATGCTCTGTAATCCCGCTCAGTTTTGCCACATTTAGCTTTGCCAGACGTAAAAAAAAAATACACTACAATTTTCAACTGTCACTTTTTCAAATAATTAGAGAGGCAGTCATGTAAATCCATGCTAAAACTTTTCTAAGCTAAATATCTTTGTATGTGGTGGATTTTCTGTACCAGATGAGGTTCCAGCACCTCGAAGAACCCCCAACCATCATGGAAACCCCTTGCTGGTGAGGGAGGTGAGTACAGAGCGGCCAGACTCGTTAGAGTTCATAGGAAGGCCTTAAGTGTGAAAATTGCAGCTTGGTATAGCGGCGGCGGGGCGGTTACAGAATGGCTTCTCTAGACACACAACTTGTGTGAATAAATATCCGCCACTATCTAATGAGCCAATGCCACAGGGGCGAATGGAAACCCCCCTCGCCCCCCCAAGGCTTACGTGAGACATTCTAGGTCTGAAGCACAGTCCCGTTCCGGCCCCCGCGGCGACCCTGGAGTTCAGCGAAGCTAAATATCTGCGTGCGGGGGCTTACAGGCTTCCCGAGTTACAGTGTCCCATAAAAGGGTGTTTTTTCCATTAATGTCACAGCGACCCCCCCCCCTTGCCCCTTCATGTATAAATCAGTCCAGTTCAGCAGCTGGTCGCGCTCCTCTGGATTACTTCATTCACCTCGTCAAAGTTTGTGAGGCCTGTTCCTCAAGGGGGAGTTCCGGTGCAGCGACCATCGCGAATGTGACAGGACCTCCTCATGAAGAGCGATTCTTTCTGATTTGGTCAATTGCTTAAGTACCACCTTGGTTGTAACCTTGTTGTTGCAATAAAGACTGAATTTGGATCTACACAAGTGGCTTCTGACTCTTAATTTGGCGGGAAGGAAAAAACCAGCACAAGTCACGACACACTTAAACAGTTTGAACACAAAGCAACTGTAGTGTTCCTCCATCTATAAAAACTCTTCTTTGTTATGATAAAACGGTGCAAACAGGAATTAACAACAAGTATTTCAGAAAATTAGCTTATTAATTTAAAATAGTTTGCAGATCACTGGCATCTTTGATATCAATTGTATCAAATTATTAATCCCTGATCCTCCACTCAGAACCACATACAGAACCAGTCAAAAGTCTGGACACATTTGCTTTTAATGCACGTGTCTCTATATTAGCTGTTGTTCATGTTGGCAATGAAGTAACACATATCAAATATTTCAACCAAATTTTACACTCTTCAAAACAGCCCCCTTTTGCTTCAACGGCAGCGCTGCAGACTCTCAGCATTCATTCACCCAGCTTCCAGATGTAGCCACCTGGGATGCTTCTCCTACAGGCCTGAANTTTTGTAAAATTTTATACTCTTCAAAACAGCCCCCTTTTGCTTCGACGGCAGCGCTGCAGACTCTTGTCATTCATTCACCCAGCTTCCAGATGTAGCCACCTGGGATGCTTCTCCTACAGGCCTGAAGGAGTTTCCACAAGTTCTGGGCACAAGTCGGCTACCTTGCTCTGACTCTTTGATCCAACTCATCCCAAACCAGCTGTATAGGGTTCAGGTGGGGGGATTGTAGGGGGCGGGGACGACAGGTCATCTGTCACAGCACTCTGTCTCTTTAATTGTTCACAAGATAATACCGTGCTTACATAACCTGGAGGGGAGCTTGGGGTCAGTATCTTGTTCAAAAACAAATGATTTTCGGTAGGCGTGTCCAGACTTTTGACTGATAATGCATGTAATGCATGGACAGAGTTGTCCTAGCCCTGGATGCCGGAAGCATGGTACACCTTGGATGGGAAGCCACTCCGTCAGTGGGCAGGAACACAGACTTGGGGGGGGGGGGGGGCGACGACACACACCCACATAAACACAAGGAAATCACAGAAAATACCCATGTGCGTGCGCTGACGTCAAGCCCACAAGCTGAGCGGTGAGCAGTGGAAACCAGCCCACTGAACCACTGTCCCACACTGCGCTGAAGGAGGCGGATGCAAGATAAAGCATGTATAACAAATAAACAACAATAAATAATCCCATGGGCTATAGACTGGGAGGCACCAAGGGGGGGGGGGCGGCACTGGGGAAACAGTTGCCGCATCAAAATAATTACCTATAAATAAGTTAATGTAAACCGTTAAAATTTAATAAAGATCTGAATCATGTCTATGTTTATCTATTTTCTGTGTGCATATGAGTTTGGGGGTGGGGCCGTGGTTAGCGTTGCTGCCTCACACTTCTGGGTCCAGGGTTTGAGCCTCCAACATGACCCTATGTGTGTGGAGTTTGGAGTTACTTGAGTGTGTGAATGCTGTTGGTGCCCCATCCTGGCTAATCCCCCCCCCCTCTTTTGCACCTTTAGCTTCTGGGATTGGCTCTGGACCCCCATGACTGCATAAGACAAGTGTGATATACAGTAGAAGATGAATGAACGGATTTCTGAGTTCTTCAAAAGCAACCAAAGGAGTGACCGTGACTCTATGCCCCGCCCATTCATTCTGTGAGTGACAGGTGACTCTATGCCCCGCCCATTCATTCTGTGAGTGACTGGAGGGTGCGCCTACACTACAGTAAAATCTTTGAATGAGTTCGATCATTTGACTCCCTGTCAGTTCTCTGTTCTAATTTCAGAACATGTTGTCACTGAGCACTTTAAGAAACATGACTTTAGGACAATAAACTGACTCTGACCTCATCTGTCCGGCCGCAGTAACAAATTGCGCTGATGCAATGTGTTCAGTCCGCCTCGGCACTAACGCATTTTTCCTATCTACATCACATCTTTCGTGATTGTCCTATTTTCAAAAACAGACAGAAGAGCCTGTCTAGGTTGCTCTGCTGGGAGTTTTGGAGATATCGGCCGAAGAATTGGTAAACGTACCAGAGCACGGTGCACTTGTTGTGCTAACAAATACATTGGAGCTCAATTTCATGGAATGATAATTGATATTTGTATACAATTCCTTCGCCTCTCCCTGTACAAATCGTTGCTGCTGCTGTGGGTTATTCAGATTTTGGAGGGGTCTCCGACAGGAAGAAGGCAGAACCTGAATTCCCCATCTCAGCTGAAAAAAGGCTACACCCTACTGGAGCCAGAAGAGTTCCACGGAGTTAATATTAATGCGTCCTCGCATCTTCCATCGCCGACTGGCTGGCAAATGCATCTCCCTGCTGCAAGAGTGACCCAGCAACATGTCAGGACGAAAAGATGACTTCAGCTGGAACACTCCCACCATTGAAAGTCTACACAACTCCAGACATGTTGCGATTCTATTAAAGAAAGATTAAGCCAAATTGTGCAAGCGTAGATGTTCTCTGTGGTGTGCTTTGTCTTCATACTCCCCCCCCCCCATTGGCATCCTGGTAATGGTCCTGCCCCCTACCTCCAAGAAAATCTTGGGCCTGGCCATCGGATTTGTCTTGGCACCAACCCTGGCACTCGGTAAAGCATATAATCTCTACATTTTCCAAAGACTCAATCCTTGATAATGCTACACGTTTTGGCAAGGATCGAACCACCACATATGATAATTCTTGCAGTCGTCTTGCTGGTCGGTACCAGTAGGTAAGTATCTTGACTGGAGGAAAAAGTAAAAACTGGCATAAAGTGCTTCAAATTCAATTCATCATTTCTCTGTCCAGAAATGTGACATTTATTTTTCACAAAAATAAAGAATATTCCTTACTCTATTGAAAATGAATGATAGGTCCCCATTCATCAGGTCATGGGGTACCCCAATAGTCTAATACTTCAAAAAGATAATCATGTGTAATTTTGGTATCTTTATTTGGTATCTAAATGAAACATTCTGACTTATTAAATCTAACCTGTACCAATGGTTGTTTTTTTTTTTACCTGCCTGTGCTTATTACTCATGAATAATTACACCCCATCTGTACCCCTCAATCCTCCAGCCCATTAATTACACAATCTTTGTTACCTTTACATATTTTGTCCTTTTTCCCACTGACCTGGCAGCCTAAATTGTTACATTTCTCTGTTAGTGTTCCTCTGCGTGTTAAGTCTGAACTGTCTACTATATCATGATTTCTGTAAGATTTACTGTCACAGTAAACATATCCAAGTGATGCAGGGTCGGTAGGATAACACAGGGAAGCTTATCAGCACCCCCAAGATACAAGAGGCTAAAGTGCACGACAAGCAACCAAAGCGGCCATTTTGGTTCCAACAAACAAAGAACCAACTGCAACTTATTTGAGCTGCATTATAGCTCCCGATCTGTACGGAACCATTCATGGAGCAAAAGTACTGCTTTCTATGCTCAACCAATACCAATCGAGCTTTGCCCTCCACAGAACATCCATTTATCTATTAAGAAAGCACCACATATGTCTAGTGAAATTCACCATATCGTCATTCTAAAATGAAAAATACATATCTCTAAAAATCCATCGTTTCATGACCGTGAAAAAACACATTTTCTCACAAAGTACTTTTATAAAATGCATCTTTTCATTGGTCAATTGGATGTCAAACATTATAAGACAGAGGAAAATGGGCGTTTTCCATCTTTAGAAAAAGTCACACTCTTCAAAAAGTACATATACGCTGTTTCCATCATACTGCAACAAAATAGTGTATTGTAATTGGCAAACAAAGTTTATTCTGGTTTACTGGTTTTTATTTACTAATTGTCTGGGAAATAGTCTGGACGTATGTGTGTAAAGGTAGATTAATTTTCTCTAACTGAAATTAAACATGGTTGAATGAAAATTAAAGTTATATACATACCATCAATATGAATGTATTTAAGGAATAGCAGTTTACAACAGCAATAGACTTTCGTGCATAGTTATGCATTAAATCTTTATTTTTATAGACTCTTACAGGCCCTGGCTGCTCCTAGTCTTTGTTGGTGTTAGACGTTGTGTGTCTAGACTAGGGTGACCAGATAATCCATGTCAGGGAGGACACTTTGAGCTACTTCGGGTTTTACAAACTACTTTCAAATTAAAAGGCTCCTATGCTCGGCTAAATAGTTCAGCTCTTCTTGTGCTTTGACTGGTTTGTTTCCTTGACTGAAAGACTCATCCAGCTGTTTCACATTAGCATTAGTGACACATGCATGATTATAGGAGACTGACCAATCAGCACACAGCAAGAACTCAGTGCTCAAGTCAAATCCAGGTCCGTTTAATTGAAATGGTAATTTACAATTCCTGTCCTAGCTCAGAGTGTCCTCCCTGACATGGATTATCTGGTCACCCTAGTCTAGACACATCAGCACATTTTTCCATTTGGGCTGATGATCGGTTGGGGTTTCTGTTTCGGGGAAAATCTTTCCTGCTGCAATAATTATTACCAGCCTTAAGGGCTCCATAAAGGGAAGAAAACCTGCCTTTGGTCACCTGCCTTCACAGCCACGCCACATTGGATGATGTCCAAACTGCCATTTCTCTACAGGCTAGACATTCATAAAACTCCACAGCAGAGTTTCGATCACACCAGCAAACCTGCTGAGACACCCTTACTCTCTTCATTTGGCAGAACAAGTAATGTCCTAAAAGCATCATCTCTGAATATCTGCATTATGTCAGACAATCAGGGCACTGGTAGGACAAAATAAAGACATGCGTATCTGAACAGCTTGAGCTCAGAAACTTGTATTTTGCTTGGGGTTTTCAAAACAACATCACAGCACTTCAAATATGTCCTTTTAAAGTGTAACACTATATTAAGTATGTAATGTTACATTAATGTGCCAGTTTGCAATCACTTTTTAAAACTACAAGCACACTTAATAAGCTGAATGAACAGAAATCAATCACCATATTATAAATATATTATATACAACTCTCCTGTTTGCTTTTATTGTTTAAATTGTATTAATAGATCCCGTGTCTAATCATCTCTATATTAGGGAAAAGCAGGTGGATAGGAAAAAAAAGAATTAGAGATAAAATGTGGACAACAATTAATATTTAATTATAAAACACCGATTAAACGAAACAGAATGTTGAAAATGCACATGACATTGTAATATGCATTATCTATTTGTGCAAAAGAGTAAATTGTCTGATGATAACGATGACGAATGCTCGCATCTGGATTCGATGGGAGCGGGAGCGACGTGGCCCGCACCGCGGCTTCCGCAGCGAAAGTAGATGACCCCCCCATCGCTGCTGGAGGAGGATGCTCAAGGTTAAACAGATACACGGGGGAGGGGACGTCGCGCGTCACGTGACCAGAAGCGTAGCGCCGCTCGCGCCGTCGGGAGACGTGAATCAGCAGCATGGGCGCTTTAAAACGTGTCATCTTCTGCTTAGTTCAAAATCCGCTGTGCATCCATCCGCGTGTTTTACAAATCACCCCCCTTTACAAATAAAAATGCACCCAGTAATATAAAAATTACATTTAACTACAGTATCGTTCGAGGGCAGTTCTCATTGCCTCGTTTTCATAAATAACCATATTTCTGACCATATGCAAGTTAAAATTGTAATACTGGTGAATGCAAACCTTTGGCAGGCTTTTTACATGAGATACATCAAACACGACGCGCCTTATATGCCGCAACAATGACGGCCACACGACCATGCAGTTCCCCTGTGAAACTGTCACTGTATCACGTTTAGTTGAGGACGTTAATCCGGAAACGTTGATATAATTCATTGCCAAAAAATACAGGCAGCTGAGAAAATATCAACACCGAATTTATTTAACACCAAAAACGTTTTGATAGCGGGCACAGGGAATACTGAGGAGGGAGGCTCGCAGTAACCTTAGGCCGGGTATTATATCTCCAGTGCTTCTCAACTAATCTCCCACATCGTCCCGGAGTTGCTGCAGTCGATGCTGCAGTTTTCAGCTCTCTTACTACACGCGTTGTGTGCTGCGACAGCGACTCAATGAAAGAGACATGCTCGCCTTCGTTCTCGTTTCTGGGTCTATCTGGATTGTTTTAGGTAAGTTCATCTTCAATTATCTCGTTTTCCTAGTTCTTCTGCCAACCATATATTGTAATGCGCAGTCACCTTTAAACGGGGGAGACATGTTACATTTGGGAAGCCTGGGTACCGGTCGAAAAGTCATCCCTTTTACCGATTGTGACCCAGGGAGGGACGTGGGGATATTTTTGGCATTTATGGACCTATATATATTTCCCGTTTTAGACATCCGTTAATGAATGGATAATCGTGTATGTATTCATTCGAAATAACGGTGGAATATGATTTTTCTTTATACGGTTGAGTGTAATTGAAGCGTGTGTCAATGGTGGCTCAAATGAAATCACACGTTAACATGAAATTATTACTAATTTGTCCAGTTACGGATGTCTTGGGTCGTCTAAATACTGTACATACCTAGTACGTTTATTTTTTAACATACTTATCTCGTTTAAACTTTATTCGCTTTATATTGTCTAAATTCAATTCGTGCTACCCGTATCTATTTAATATACATCGTGTTATTTCCCTTAACCGGCTTAGCAGGGGAGATTTTATGGTCATTTGTAAACATTTTTATGCATCCTTTGCGGTTCCACATAAGTACCGTGAAATATTGAGTGCAGCATCAGCGTGTGTAACAATAAAACGCAGCGTGTTCTGATGATTTGATGGTAAACGTGGACACAACGTTTTGCAAAAATGCAGCATTTCACAGCATAGATGCGATTTTCGAGTGTCATACGCTGTACCTGGAGAGACCGGATCCCGAAAGCAGTGATGTATGCACGGCACAGCACGCGGCGTGACGCGCAGGCTCACGCGGCCGAGCCCTCGCATCTGATTGGTGGAGCTGTCCAGAGGCGTCCGGTTCTGAAACGCCTAGACGGGAACCGGTACGCGGCGTAAGGAAGCCCTCTCCCTATGTCTCACACATAATGTCCTAATTAAGTAGCCAGTGTTTAACGTTATGCCTAAAAATATGTATTTGTGTAACCCGAACAGGTTGATGTCAGGCGGTCTTATTGACAGAGAAAACCTAGCCGCTTTCTTTTTGGGCTTTACCGGCCGTGCCACGCGATATGCAGTACCGGACTTCATTCATTTATTTCGCCTTACGTTCATGTTTTCCGCCCTATTGTACCACCCATCCGAGTCACACAAGGGCATCTATAATTCAGGATTTCAATTACTTAACCGGTCAGGAGAGAAAATCTATTCATTTATGCACCTGAATAATTGAGGGGTTTGGACACCTGCGCTACCAGTGGTAACAGAGTGATCAGCAAATTTTGAGTGCTGTAGTTCGATACGTCAAGCAGGCTTTCTAAATGTTAGAATTTTTTAATGAAAATTTGCCTTCGATTTGTTTATTTTGGATGCCCAGAAGAAAGAGCCTTCAGCCAGGAGTGTGATCACATTTTATAGTCAAATCACTTGAAAGGTGTACAGTGGATACCTTGTGGAGGCAGAGGGAGGGGTTTTTAATAAGAAACGAGTGACTATGATGCTGGTTTGGGGCAGAGCTGATCCTAAGAACTGCTGGCTGAGAGCTGGAGGCAGTATGGAGGATCTCACGAAGGAGCCGTTGGTGGGTTGTTTGAATGTGTCCAGGTGTATGTAAAAATGCGGGGTACAGGAATGCAGAGACAGATGACACAGAAGATGTGGATTGTTTTATTGCTCACACTGGATGATGGGTGGAGTGCGAAGGGGGAGAATTTTTTGTTCAGTGTCCTTCCGTTGATAGCTTCTTGTTTTGCGTTACCGTCTCAGCTATTGGCGTGTGCGTAATCTGAGAGCGTCAGCTAAAGGTAGCCGGTGGCTCATGTGCTTCAGGTGGAGGAAGGATTCTGGGATGGGGGGGGGGGGGGGG